ATTATTGTCCGTTGCCTTCCTTATGAGTGAGGAATGGTTAAGTCGTTAAACAATTTAAGTCCACCCTACACTTAGGATCTTTCGTCTTAAACAAGCCTCTAATTATGCTCTTCGCTTTTCAACACAATCTCTTCTGTTCGCTCCAACAGTCAACTGCTTTACACTTGGAGATCGCGTCTTCGCACATGTTGCTCGTGTCCTATAGAACCCGTAGCAATTATCGATTAGACAACTTAAAACGTTTCTTTTTAAGAAAGCTTTGAGCTCAGAAATTTGAAGTAAAAAGCGCTTTTGAATGTGCACATAGTATAAGTGCTACACGTGCATCTTACGTATACCAATGTGAGTAAGGGATATTCAAACTTTGCGTGGTTGCTCCTGGTGGAAATATGCTAGTTTAAGAACATATACGACATTTTTTAAAGACATGTTTCGACAGTTCTTCTGCCATCTTCAGTTCTGAATTATACAAAGCACAAAGTTGAGTTGAAAGTGTATAACCAAATGCTCATGGGACAAAACAGACAATAGAAATATGTTAGCTGTTTAAGGGAAGTTGTTGCAAGCATAACATTTATACTGTTTTTAGTTCCTTCCTTTAGACCACTGGGCATGTTTTGAAAATGAGTGGACAATTTTTGCTAAACGAAAAAGGGAGTAAAATAATAATGCAACCGGAAACACAGTCGGGTACGGTGTTAAGGAGAAACGTCATGCTAAATAGATATGTTATCACTGCAAGGGAGAAAATTTCTTTTTTTATCTATGGTAAACAAATTAAAGGGAGCGACAAAGGCAAACATCTGGCAGGAAAGAATAAATGAGAAATGTACGATAATGATAAAACTATCAAAGAACGTGACTAACAAAGTGAATCAATTGGCATTTAAATTATCCGACGGCAAGCTTGAAAGGTCCAGGCGAAATTTTTCTAAACTCTACAAACCGTGCAGCAGCAAGATAGCTCTTTCCTTGCAGTTTTTAAATCATCTACTGAGATGAGTTGGGGTTGCTTTTGTTGGGGAGTTAGTGCCAGTTTTTAAATAGCTGGACGACTCTTCTTATTTTGCCTCGATTGGCCAAAGTTTCATTAATCTCTGCGCGTGTTGACTGGAGCTATGAAGCAAATCGATTTATCTAGTAGCGTCAACTAGGTAACCAATTCACACAAACCTGACGACTGCAAGTTGATAGATCGATTGCCACGTGAAAATATCTGAAAATAGTAACAGTATGTGTAGATGACGCGGGAACCGTCAAAACTTAAGAAGTATTTCGCGAAAAGGAAGGGCCACCAAAGTGATGGCAAAGATTTAGAGAACCTGGAAGTAGGGTTGATACTGTGTTAACATCTTCGTATGTAAATTACATGCGCTCATTTTCGTAACGATTATAACATAAATAAAATGCGCGTAAATCTCAGTTATGCGAATTCGTCAAGTAATCCGAGTGTGCTCGAATCCGTTTAGAACTATCCTCGCGTCAGTGACTCACGATGATGAATGCACCGAAAATTGCACGAAGTTCCGTCGATTTACTTGGCCTAGTGTGATAGTCAGGACAAGCAGTTTTACTCGTCGGGGTTTAAACATGAAAATAACGCAATGGCAAATAACTTCGAAACCTCGTCATAGAACAAAATATTCCAACGCAAAAACGTTTTTAACTAAAAGTTATCTGAAGCAAGATCTTGCGCAAGCATTGAAACTAGAAAATATTCAGCATAAATAATGCATCTCAGAGTCTTAATGGTCTCACCTTCGAGTTTGGCAATTATTGCTATCAATGTAATTGGTAGAGTCAGGTGAATTAATTTATTTCAAAAGTTTTTTTTTCCCACATTTACAACCGACAGTGATTATCTCTCCACATTGTGTAGTCCTCATCTCTGGAACACAAAACCGGGCTTGATTTTCGTGACAAGCTGCCTGACCGGATGAGAAGCAATCGAATACAAGTTTTAACTCGTTGCATACAACCTTCTGTCGCATAGAGCTGACACAAGACCGACGTCTTTTAAACAACTCGCTAAGTTGAATATACTTTGAAATCTCTGGCTCTTTATTTCCCGTTCCCTCGCTGGGAAGATCCTCGTCCACTTGCTCGTCACCTAAGGCGTCAGCAGGCACACCGGTCAACAGTAACTCGTCGTTACTTATATCTCCCATTGCCATGGTAACTTGAAGAACAAAGGAAATCAGAACCACCTGTCGTTGGTGAAGGTAAGTGTGCTTTAGTGAGCATGCGCTTATAAGAATTAAAAATTGTGAAGGAAAATTTATTGCATAAGTTTGATTGTTGTTGCAATTTGTTTTCAGCCGAAAATATGCACAGAAGTCAACAATAGTTCCAGGACATTTATGATTAGGCTTTTTGGCAACGTGTAAAACGAATTTCGTCCATAGATTTAGCCTAGCATTTTTAGTGCCTAACAATCTAAAAATTGGCATTAATTAACATAAAATATGTTTAGCGAAAAGACTGGTCCATCTTTATCTTTAAACGTTGTCAGTTTGACTACCTTCAGAAAGCTTAAAAAAAATTTCTTGAATTCATCCAAATTAACAAAGCCATATAATTTGGCGGTCTACCTCGTAACTAAGGAAATTACTGTAATAAAATCTAAACTTGTTATAACAACAAGAAAAAGAGGGATTCGTTTTTTGTTCACTGAAATTGTTGCGAAGCCCCTAAAAACTGTGTAACGAAAAAGTTTCTTTTTTTTCGCCTGCGTATAAGTGCCCCTGACATTGAACGATTTCCCTATAAAATGACGACCGAAAAACCAACCGAAAGAAAAATTAACAAGTAGAGGGCAAATAGCTGATACTTACGTGAGCTAAGAAGCGAAGCATTTCGATATTACGTTTCCTCACAGTTGTCTTTTCCGTCGGCCGAAAGACACTGGCGTTCAGTTGCGTTCAGCTCCTTTTAATATTTGTTTGGAGTAAAACCAGGTGGTTCTTAAGAGCTTTTGTTCTCACTTTCTGGAGAAGTTTTTCAGAGGGCAACTCTTCAGGGTTACTTAGGATTGCGAAAGCGTGATCTACATATCACAGATGATGATATCTTGGCCTTTCATAGCTTAAATTTAGCTTTTTTAAAAGCTGAAAGTTTTCCTTGTCGATTTAAGGAAGTTAAGGAAGTGCTAAATTAACTAGTGAGGACAGATGGTTAAGGGTGACATACTTGATTCAACTATTGGTAAATATGACAATAACTAAACTACATCAGTAGTAAAAATTTGCCATGTAATTCTAGTAATTTTGTGCCTTACTGAAACATTTTCTCGATTCCAATTCATCGCTACTTCCTTTCCAGGTCGGTCGATTTGCTTTTTTTCTGTTTCTAAACTTAGTGGAAGCCATAATGCATTAGTTCCCACATTTGTGGGTAATTTACACGTTTAAAGGATCCTATTTAAAATGTCATGGTAGCCACGTCAGCCGCACGAAAGATGTTAAGCCTCTTTTTTTTTAATCAAATTTTTTTCAATGAGGTAAAAAGTGCTAGTCTCCTGCCGTGCACATTCAAGAGGTTTCCATATTTATTCTAAATATAACTTCAGAAGTTTCTGTGTGCGTAAACTCATATTTAATCTAAACAGTATGAGTAGAAAGTTTTCCAATGATCGGTACCTTTCTTTCGAAGTGTGTATCTTAGTGAAAGATGAAACTGCATTTGTGTATTCTAATGTGGCTGATGGATATTGAATAAACTTAAAATTATGAAATAAAATTAGCTCATGACATTCTGACGTGCGCTATCCCTTTCAGGTTTTTGAGGAAGTTGTATTTCCTTCATCAAATTTTCCGCAACAGAGAAATAGTACACAGTTTTTACTCCGCAGTATTATAATATCGGATTAAAAACTGGATTTAAAATTGTGAAAAGTCATCAGAAAGAACGAGAAAAAAACCAAACTGAATTAAACACGAGGCGGCAATTTAAACTCCGTTTGCGTCGTTGTTAAGTTCAAATAAAATGTCAATACTTGGGAAGTTTAAAATTAGCTTACTCAAGCATCTTAGTGGTGTTAGCTTTGAAAGGGGCAAATCCCTGATAATTGCTTTGTTCAAAGACTGCTTTTAGCCAAACTCTCCAAGCATCGATTATTGAAAATTCGACCACCTTTCAAAAACTGAGTTACATTCCGTAAAATTACCGATCAAATAAGCATTCGCGTGTCTAGAAAATGGTCTGAAAATTTAGTATTTTAGTTCGAAAATTTGCACTGATATAGGAAGTTGTTGCAATCGGATGATATACAATTTGCTCGTGTTGATCAACTTATTTGCTTTTCGAACTAATTTGCTAATTTGGGAATATTTAGGCATTTTAATGAGATACTAATGTACATCTCACTATAAGTTCCATTCATCAGCTTGATGTCAAACATAGTAGATTCATTTGACGATACAGCCTGCATGTGTCCAGAATAAATGAATAGATAATTTAGTTTTTCAAAAGTAAATAAATTGACCTATGAACCTTCCTGTTTTTAGTCTAAGATTCAAGTTGGAAAAATTTTCATATACTCGTGAAATATCAGTTTGGGGTTGGTATGGCACCAAATTCTGAATTTAGAACGGTGTCTGCCGCGACACAAAGCCTAGACGAAACGCCTCTGAATAACATCCGCGGACGTTGCTTTTATTTTTCAAGGGCTCTAAGATGCATGTGAATTAAACACCAGCAAATTGAAGACTAATGTGTTTAGAGCTTGAAAAAAGATCTCTCCACCTGTTTCCCGTGGTTGCAGATGCATTATATATTAGCTTAACATAAATTTAAAATACCCAATTCTCATTCATTTATGATGATAAAATTAGGGCTGAATTGCGATTGATATTGTGGAAAGTGTACGGTTGGGATCGTCCTCACAAGTGAAGAGAAAAAAAAAGTAACCGAGGAATTCAAAATTGCACATAACATCATTAAAAAGATAAACATGATTAAATTATTCAAAGAACGTTTTTTTGAAAGAAATTTAATTAGAAATTAATTGAAATTCGAAAAAAAAAAATTTCTACCAGACGTATATCATATTTCCTTTTTATAAGTGATCCATCCATCTTTCCTATCCTGTGAGTGTCACATTCGGGCCAGAAGTTGAAGATGGTTTTTACACAAACGGGTTGCGAAATCGCTCTCATACCATCGCCAGCCTGTCTCAGTGTGTGTTGTCGCCCACACGTTGCTACTTAACCCATATTACATCCTAATTTCTCATGCTTATCTTCAAACTGTTCTCTATGTATTTCCTTTGATACTGGTAAGGGGAACTATTTTAATAACGAGAGTTTCTTTAATCGGTGATCATTTCCTCTACTCTCATTATCTTAATGTTTAATTCAAGGGCGATTCTGAAAGGCGAAAATAGATGCTAGTCATTCTTAGGCCGCGGGCTAGAGGGTTTATCCTCATCGTCCCCGTTACAACCTAACACAAATGACAAAAGCATGTTTAACTTTAAAGATCGCAAGTATTAATCACTAGTCGTAAACTGAGCACCATGGAGTAGTAAAGGCGACAACGGTATAACAGAGTGAAAAACTCAAAGACAAAGAGAAACTGTAGACAGCTGTTTCTACAGGGCTAGATCGCGTAAGCACGACGAAGCAGCAGGAAACACAGTAACCAGCGCGTGGGCTAATCTCAATTCCTGCATATATCGTCAGTTGTATCGTTTGAAAGAAACCACACACAGGGGAAGTTACATTTCAGTCCAAACCAGTCTTAAAGAGATCATATACCGTTCTACGTCAAAGCCTAGCCTCCCTACCCCTATCCCCCACCCCAGTCAATCGTAGGAAGTCGTAGTTCGTACCACTTTAGCACCTGCTCACCTGAATGCATCATTGCTTCTGAACGTTTTACTAGAGCAAATCAGTATCGAAACATTTTTAAGTCAGTTCCAAATCATTATAATCATAACAAATAACGCAGTACACGCTTGTTTTATTATGCATTCTTATGTTGTTACTTGAGGCAAAATTTGATTGGCTGAAGGGCTGAAGGTGATGTTGCGATTGGACAGGAAGAGTTTTAAAGACGGGTACTGGTACCAGTAAACTTAAATTCTTTCCACTTGCTTTTCTAAACTCTCAGTGTTGATGGTTTAGAGATTCCAAATCAAATGAAAAATTAAATAAAATTTTTACTCTGTTACCGAGGCGTTTGTACGCACATGGCGGCAGTCAAAATATCAACACATAGCCATTATTGGATTCTGAAGACATTGAAGTTAACTCAAAACCAGACTCTTTTGGTCAGTGAGTAGCAACTCTACCAGTTCCTTGTATGAAGTTGGGCTTCAGATATAACATTCATATCCCATCTTATGGGGAGTTCTTGGTGCCTTTTTTTGATCTAGAAGAGAAACCCTCCAAAGGAATAGACTACAAAATATTAAGGGAATTTAACCAAATTGCACTTTTATTACAAGTGCAGAGGTGCTTCAGTAATGGCATTTTTGCTGAAGAAAAATATACAACCTTAAAAATTAGATAACACATTTTTTTCTAATTAGTGCACGTTACATTTTGATGCTTTGAGTTCTTAACGATCCAAATAAAAGAAGAAAATTGTTATTGCTTGGCTAAACACGTAGGGTAAGTCGTTACCAGACTCTTACCAGTCGCCAATATGTATCATGTATTGATTACTTCCTGTTCCAACACAACAGACTTATAACCTCACGTATATGCACTTAAAACACCAATTACGAAGTGCAAAATCAGGTCAACTTACGTTGTTTTACCAGAATTAGGTTGTAAAATAAAAATGGAATTTACATTACAACATTTTACGACTTGCAACATTTCTTGCCAATTTCATACCTAGAGGCTTTTTATTAAGAACAGGTAACCAATATAAAAGGTCGAGAGAGGAAATGTTTCGGTTTGATACGTTAAAATTCGGCTTAAAAAAAGGTTTAAAAACCTGCAGGCCCAAAATTGGCAAGAGAAACATTGGCTGTGCATATATTTACTCAATCAAATCCCTCCTGCTTTTCACTGTTCTCTATTGGTGGCAATCTAATCGTAGGATTACTCAACTTAATTTTGTCGAAATCTTTACTTCCTGTACCCTTTAAATTTCTATTACTCTTGACATGATCTGAACGCTCTGCCCCATGCCTTTTTGCTTTGTGTCTTTCGAGTTTAGGTAGTCTTACGTCGTTGTTCTTAACAGGCCTACACTGTCTTTCAAATTTCTCCTCTAAATCGGATTTGCGTAATGGAGGAAAATTTTTCCTTTTTTCCTGTCCTTCTGTTTGCCTCAATTCCATCTCTAAAGCTTTAACATCAGAGCTCACCAGGCGAAAATTTCGTTCCATTTCTTGACTCCAAATGTGAACTCGTTTCTCAAAACTTCTAGTAAGACCACGGTTTTTTATTTTAGCGAACTTGGCGGCAAAAACAATATGCCGATTTGGTCTCATCGACAAAATGTATTGATCCCTTTGGAGAGCTTCTTGTCGAAGTCTTTCGTGCTTTTCCTGTTTTGTTTCGTTTCCTTCGTCCAAAATAGTTGGAGAAATATTCAACGTAATTCTATCTACTTGCGCCCTCAATCTCTCCAATATCCTTTCAAAGTCGGCTTGTGTTGGCTTATAGAAAGTCCGAGCTGCTTCATTTTCCAAATTTTGCTCCATTTTGAGTTTAACAGTCGCCATTGAAACTCGCGAATATTTTGCGCGTATGTTTTTTTTTCTCACGGTCGTCGTGTTCTAGCGAAGAGTGAGGATCATCGTTACGTTCATCGAACGCCGCGATCTTTCAAAATTCATTTTGGAGAGATAAAAGCTAGACGAAACGAACCTCGCTGACTCTGTTTACGTTAACTTCTCTCACCAGAATATAAGGGTTGACACGGCAACGCTAAAAAATCGGCAGGTGGATGCAAAGTTTTCAAACAATTTCAAAGTTCCTACGTTGAATAATTCAAAAACTGTTTGTTGAATGGTTGTTCTAAATAGTTACTTCATCCTAAATAGGCTACA